GAAGGCTAAAGCCACAACCACCAAGGTTGAGTCAGAAGATACTGTGCCAATTTCCAAGCTGGTAGAAATAGAGAAGACTATCTCTGCATTCGAGAAGAGACCTGCTAAGGCTGAGGCATCTGACAAACCACTACAAAAAAAAAAGTCGAGTTCCAAAGGTGCCATTCACCCTGGTGCTTTCCCAGCTGACAAGCCCTAGGTTCCATCTGTCAGGGTTGGAGACTGACTTTTGTTAGCTGGGGACAGTGCCCTCCACAGTGTGGAAGTCGGTACTGCCATTTCTACCGTCGTTCTGCTACCTACCGACCTCAACTGTATGGCCAAGCTGACAGAATATGAGAACTATGTGATAATGATGCAACATTGCATCCTTGTTAGTCTCTTTACTTTATCTTTTAAAGTTTTCCAACATTTAGCCAAATTTTTACAAATCTGTTTCAATTCTTGCAGGCCATTCAGCAGGGTCACTCATTCGCAGTCAAAACCGAGAAGTTTAAGAAGGAGTTGACCAAGAAGACTAAGGAGGCAGCCAAACTCCTTACTTCTCTGAATCAAGTTGAGGCTCCCATCCGAGGTTTGCTGGACTAGGCCACATTTGCCCAACTGGCCCAACAAAAAGCTGAGGATCGTGTTGAAACTGCTGAAAACTTTGCTCAGGTCGCCAAGGCCGAAGTAAAAGAAGCAAGAGAGAAAGAGGCCTAAGCCCAGACTGAGCTCCAAGCGGCGCTTGCCACAAAAGAGGCCGAACTCAAAGCTGCTGACGAGAAGGCTTACGCTGAAGGGGCCGCCGACGTCCGCGATGCCTACAAGAAGCAAGTCAACTAGGTATGCAACAAATATTACACCTTTGGCTAGATCGCTGCATTGAAGGAGTTGGCCATCGCCGATAACTCGCCTTTTCATAACGCTAGCCGACTTGCTCTACCATTCCCCTCTACTCCAAGCCAATCCGAGGACGAGGCTAAGATAGAAGAAAACGTCGAGGCCGACAAGTCCAAAGAAGTTGCAGCTGCTAGGGCTAAGTCTTCGACTTGACTCAGGATGAAAAAGGGGATGAGGTCACTAAAAATACTCCTATTGAAAAATCCTCATTTGTGGCCGAGAAGAGTCTGGACCAAACCCTTCTTAAAATTGATGCCAAGATAGCGGCCGAGAAAAAGGGAGCTCCGCCAACCGAAGCCGACACAACACCAATAGTCGAGGTTGAGCAATCCAAAGTTAACGCCAAAGCTACCAGTACTTAGGATTTTTTCTTTGCTTGTACTTCTTTCTTGAACGATTGTAACTTCTCTTGATTGAACAATATTACATTTCAATTTGGCCAATGTGCCTTCTTTTGTATCTAAACAAGTTGTCTTTTTTGAACAAGTTTCTTTGAATGCATGCCTTCTTTTCTTCTAAGTGTTGAATGTTTGTCTTTGTTGCTTCTGTATCTGGCATGTTTCCATACTTTTAATATTTTTGCAATTCTTCAAAGTACACCTTAACTGTGTAATGACTTCGGGTTAGAACACATCTAATCATGTATCACCTTGGATACACTTCATCTCGGGTGTACCCTTAGTTGGTCACCTCGGACCAACTTGCCTCGGGGTCCACTGTTGGCAGATTGGCATTTCATAAAAATTCTTTTAAGTACCTTGCAACAAGTGTTACCTCTTTTACTTGTGCTTGCTGTCCTCAATCAACACTTCATTCTTTTAACCCTTCCAAGCTTTGACAAAACTGTTTGGTTATCTCGGGTAACAAATACCTCGGGTATTTCTTGATCTAGTTACCTTGGCTGACTCCAACTTATAAATTGTTGTCAAAAATTTCAACAAGTGTCAAGCTTACTCCTCATTCCTACTTCCTGCCCCCTAATGTGAACCTAAGTATCACTTATGTTCACTTTAAGCATGTATCTCCAATTTTTTGCCAAAATCTGATTCAAACAAAGATTGGCTGAGGTTTTCTTCCTTGATTCTCTATTAATCCAACTAGATTAAACTTAGTTCAACTCTGCCGTAGTGGCAAGTCTAAGTTACCCATCATGTTTCAGTTGGAAACATCGCAAACTTAGTTCAACTCTATTATATGGCAAGCATAATTCAACTTTACTATATGATAAGTTTAAGTTATTCGTTATGTTTCAATTGGAAACATCGCAAACTTAGTTCAATTCTATCATATGACAAGTATAATACAACTCTGCCATATGATAAGTTTAAGTTATTTGTCATGTTTCAATCGGAAACATTGCAAACTTAGTTTAACTCTATCATATGGCTAGTATAATTCAACTCTACCATATGATAAGTCTAAGTTATTCGTCATGTTTCAATCGGAAACATTGCAAATTTAGTTCAATTCTATCATATGGCAAGTATAATTCAACTCTACCATATAATAAGTCTAAGTTATTCATCATGTTTCAATCGGAAACATTGCCATAAGACTATTTCAATCCTATCGCACAAATATCACCAATAATAAAAACAAAATCAAGATAGTGTTTTATTAAAACTTCAGCTAATAAAATCAATACATAAAACTAATGTTAGAAAAACTTCAGATTGCAAGTATTCCAGGGTCGTGGCAACTCCTTGCCATCACTGTCTGCTAGCCGATATGCTCCGTTGCCGGCAACCGAGATAATTCCGTATGGCCCTTCCCAGTTTGGGCCAAGCTTTCCCTCCCTAGGATCCTTTTTGTTGCCAGCAACTTTTCTCAGGACGAGGTCTCCAACCTTGAACTCCCTTGTGTTAACCTTCTTGTTGCAAGCCTTAGCTAGCTGCTGTTGGTATGCCCTCAGCCGAAGTGCTGCTCTTTCCTTTCTTTCTTCCAGAAGATCCAGATCTCGAGCCAAGAATGCCTCGTTGGTCCCATCTTCCACTCCCTAGGTTCTAATTCCAGGGATGCGGACCTCTTGGGATAACTGCTTCAGTGCCATAAGCCATGACAAAAGGAGACTCCCCAGTCGATCTCCTCGGCGTAGTCCGATATGCCCAGAGTACATTGGGCAACTCTTCCACCCATTTCCCCTTTGCTGCTTCTAGCCTCTTTTTGATCCCATCCAAGATGGTCTTGTTGGATGTTTCTTCCTGACCACTACTCTGGGAGAAACTTGGAGTAGAGTAATAATTCTTAATTTTGTACTTGGCATAAAAGCTCTTGATCAAATTACTATCAAATTAGGTGCCATTGTCTGCCACAATAGTTCTCGGAATCCCAAATTTGGTGATTATGTTCTTCTAGATGAAATTCTTCACATCAATATCTCTTATTTTGGCTAAAGGTTCTGTCTCTACCCACTTCGTAAAATAGTCAGTTGCCATTAACAGGAACTTTTTCTATCTAGTTGCTTGGGGCAGTTGTCCCACTAGGTCCATTCCCCACTGAGCAAACGGCTAAGAACTGGACACTGGGTTTAGATCTGCTGCTAGCTAATGTATCAAAGGTGCAAACCTTTGACACTTCTCACATTTCCTGACATAGGCTCCAGCATCCTTCTGCATATAGGGCCACCAGTACCCCTAGGATATGGCTCTATGGGTAAATGATCTTCTCCCAAAATTGCTTCCACATACACCTTCATGTATTTCATTCAAGAAATCCTCAACCTAGAATGGATGCACACATCTTAGAAGGGGCCCAGTGAAGGATCTTCTGTAGAGATGGCCTTCTGCTGACAAACAAAACATGGCCGACTTCAATCTAGTCTTATGCGCCCTTTTTCGGTCATCCGGCAGTTTGTCATCCCTCAGGAACATTACTATTACATCCATCCAGCTTGGACCCATCTCCACACACATTGCTTCGTACTCTATGATCAATGGTTCTACACTTGGGCCTAACAAATAATCAACCATTATTGTCCTTATCTCTTCTGATTTCATTGCACTAGCCAGGTTAGCCAAGGCATCGGCATGACTATTATCATCTCGACTAATTGTTGTTTTGGGCCTAAACTCCAAGTCATATTGGCCCAGCACTACGGCCCCATCTAGCTACCCTACCTGTCAGATCTCCTTGCTATAACAGGGACTTCAAAGGATGTTCAGTCAGCACCACAATCTTATGGGCTTGGAAGTAGTGATTCAATTTTTTCGAAGCCATCACCAGGTCTAGGGTCTTACTTACGTAGTATACTGTCTTTTGTTCTCCCTCCTCTTCTCGAATTACTACCATGCTTACTACATGTTCTGAAACTGCCAAGTATAGGAACAATTTTTCTCCAGGTACTGGATTTAACAGAATTGGAGCTGTTGTCAGGTACTTTTTCAAGTCGGCCAAGGCGACTTCGCACTCTTTTATCCACAAAAAATTTGTTGCCTTCTTTAGCAAACTAAAAAATAGTTTACACTTATCTGAACTTTAGCTAACGAACCTGTTCAAGGTTGCTGCCTTACCGGTCAAAATCTAGACTTGCTTGGTTGGCGTCGGGCTCTTTAAGTCAAGAATGGCTTTGATTTGATCTGGGCTTGCCTCAATGTCCCTTCTAGTATCCAAGTATCCCAGAAACTTACCAGACTCGACTCCAAATGCACATTTTGAAGCATTGAGTCGGAGTCGATATATTCTTAGGATATTAAAAACTGCCTTCAAATTGGCCAGATGATTCCCAGGTTCTTTGGTCTTCACGACCATGTCATCAATGTACACTTCTATTGTCTTGCCAATAAGATTTGAACATCTTGGTTACTAACCTCTGGTAGGTTGCTCCTACATTTTTCAACCCGAAAAACATCATTCTGTAGCAGTACAGCCCCCTTTTGGGGTGATGAATGCAGTTTTCTCCTCGTCAGGGGGATACATAGTTATCTGGTGGTATCCACTATAAGCATCTAGGAAGCTCATTCTCTCATGCCTTGAAGTGACATCCACCAGCTGATCAATTTTGGACAGAAGGAAGTTGTCTTTAGGACAAGCCTTATTCAAGCTAGTGAAGTCCGTGCAGACTCTCCACTTTCCATTCTTCTTTTTCACAACTATTGTGTTGGACAACCAGGTTGGGTAGTTCACCTCCCGAATGGCCTTGGCTTCCAATAGCTTGTCCACTTCTTCCTCTTGTCGGCTGGTTCTTTGCCGACATTATCTAGGACCTCTATGTCCTTGTCTTCAATTTCTTCTGTTTCTCCCTCTCGCACGTTGCAGATGGATTTCATTGCTGTCATGGAGTAATTTTTTTTCTGCATCTGGTCCCCTCTGACTTCCTCAATTCCATGCTCCGTTGGGAACCACAACAGCTGGTGTAACGTTAAGGGAACAACCTTCATTGCGTACAACCATGGTTTTCCCAAGATAACATTGTAAGGGGAGAGGGTGTCAATTACTGTAAACTCTGTGCTTACCTTCTTCGTACATGCCTGCACTTCCAAATTCATGGCTCCTAGAGGCCACGTCGGCGTTCCGTTGAATCCAACCATCGGGCTGTTAGATTGTTCCATATCATCTAGATGAAGGCCAAGCTTTTTGTAGCATCTAACATACATGATGTCACAAGAACTGCCTTGGTCAACCAGTATGCGCCTTATCTGGTAGTCCCCAATCTTCAGCGTTATCACCAAAGCATCATTATGTAGATGCTGCACCATATCCAGGTCTACCTCGGTAAAAGAGACCATTGGTCCCTGGTACTCATTGGTCATAGGCTTCTTCTGCTGGACTTGATACACATGTTGCAGGTGCCTTACTCTTTGAGTCTCCCCACACACCTCATTCTCATTGACCTTTGAGTGAGTAACATTGATCACTCGAGGTCCATCTGCTTGCTATGGTGGCGGTGGCGGAGGTGGTGGTGCTGCCAGTGCCTAGGGTAGCCTTACCTGCTCTTCACTTGTTCTAGCCTCATCTACTAAGTCTCACAGATGACCCTATCTGACCAGATCCTCCAAGTGCATTTTTAGAGCCCTGTACTCCTAAGTCAAGTGCCCATCATCATTGTGGTAAGCACAGTGCTTCCCAAGGATCCTTCTCATAAACTCGCCAGGGACCTTGTCTGGCGTTCTATAATACGACTGTTTCCTTATTCTTTCTAGAACTTTGTAAACCGGGATCTAGAACATAGTGGTGACTGCCTATACAGCCTTCAACCCTGTCTCCTGCATGTTAAAACCTGTGTTACCTCGACCTCGCTTCGGCAAACCATTTCTCTTTTCTTGCTATAGCGCCTTTGTTCCTGACGTATCCTCTTATGCTCTGGTGTATTTTTTAATCCTAGCCATAAGCTTCTCGATACTTTTTGGTAGAGTTTTCGCCAGTGACTTTCAAAGAGGGCATTTATCCTCCAGGCTGTTCTTAAAAGATAGGACTGCCAGCTCCTAGTTGCATCTCGGTATTCGGTTGAACACCTCATAATACCTTTTGGCATATACCCTGAGGCTTTTACCCTCGCCAATTTTCAGATCCATCAGGGAGTCTACCCGTAATGGCTTCAACTTGTTTATAACAAACTTGGCCACAAACATCTCGGCCAAGCTTTCCCAACTCTTCACAGTTCCTTTCGACAACTTATGGAACCAATCTGATGCGATTTCTCCAAAGGATGAGGGGAACACCTTGCACAGTAACTGCTCGTTCCTGGTATACAAAGCCATTAGATTCAGATATAAGCCGACATGAAAGTTCAGATCGGACTTTCCGTCATAAATCTGGAACCTCAACATATGGAACCTCTTTGGGGCTTCAAACCTATCCAACTTCACTGAGAACGGCGTTCTCGGCTTAGCGGGGGATGTGACCTCGGCGTTTTGTCATTTCCTCTAGAGGTAATCTGTCAAATCCTCCTTCGTTCGCCCGAGAGTTCGGCTATCAACAGACTTCAGCCTTTTTGGCGTGCTGCTCTCGGCGTCGTGGTGTGTCATCTTGGATTTTTCTTCATTCACTGTATCAAAGCAAAGTCCCTTCCCCTGGACGTACTGATGTTCTTTGACAGAAGTTCCCTTGGTATGAGGCGTCTTCTAAGACTCACCTCTCACTAACTCTGTTCGCCCGACATCCTGTGAAGGCCGATGTGAACATTCTTTCTCCTTGTCATGCTGAGGGACTACTGGGATTGCTTTTTGCCCTCCTTTCTGGGGGTCGATCTTGGCCGCTGGTATCGACGTGTCCTACAATGGGTACGATAGTTGCATTACGTTGTTCTGCATCATGAAATTGACAACTGATTGTAGGTCTACCAACTTGTTTTCCATCCCTTTCATTTCGATATCCCTCCTCAGGCATCTGTCCTTCCATACCTGGAGGTCGCTTTCATTGTAATTCTCATCTCGACCTGTTTTCTTCGGGGTGTCCCCCTATTTACCGACGTCTTTCTCCCCGGGATTCTAATCCTGTGCTCCTTCATTATAGTTTTCTTCCTCGATGTTAAGATCAGCATGTTAACCACTCTTGCCTGGGACATCGCCCCGATCTTTTCTCCTTGCCCGTTGTTGGTCATCTATTCTCCTTAAGTTCCTACAGACGACACCAAATTGTAGGTGTTGATTTTCAACCACACAACCAAAAGGAGAACTTAGTTGGAGAGCACCGACATAATAGATTAAGCCCAACAACTTGCACAAGAAGATGAGAATCCGACAATGGTTCGTCCACCTGGGGGCACACCGACGATCAAGTCAGTAATTAATATCTCTCAAAGATAGCAAATTGTGCTTAAACTCACAAGAAAAAACTTCCCTCAGACCCACGAGGGTGCCTTGCTTTTATAACCAGCAGTGACCTGATCTCATTAGAAGCCTCACTTTAATGGACTCAAGCTCAATGCTCATCATCGACCTTCATCTAGATAGAGATAAACTCTTCTTGAGCCTTATCTTTATCCACATTGAGATCCTCCCTTATTCTAGGACTCTTATCCCTTATCCGCTCATCTTGGATTCCGGTATCTCCGCAGATAACCTCGGCCTAGCCGGGATCATCTCGATGCATAACTAAGCCACGTGACACCTCGGTTGTCACTTCGACGTCACTTTAGCCACATATTGTCATTCACAAAATACGTCTCCACAATTTCTATAGTTTTTTTTAACCTTGAGAGGGATAGAATGTTGAAATTGTTCTTTCCATGGGTATATTATTTTGGATATTGAAGTGGACTTGACCATCGAGTATATATTGCAGACTTAAATTTGATAATTTACTACGTTTATCTTCTAAGTTTTTATGTATAAATTATTCATAAAAAATTTAAATCAATCCTTCAACAACTTTTATTAAGCAACTCATCAAACTTTTTCTTAGTAAGGTTAAGAGTTCTTTAAAAACAAAAATACAAGAATATATCACTAGCTGTTAGATACCTTTGTCGTATCATTATTATGTATATATTTTTTAAGAATGTTGCCCATCTCTTTTGGTTATGTTTGTTTGGCTCCATAGGTAGAGGGATTAGATAATCAATTCTGTGGATCCTACATAGCTCATGTTTGATTGACAAAAATAGAAGGGGACTAGTAGTCCCATGGGATTATGAATATTCTCACACAAGGGGATTAACTTGGTTGGATTTTGGATGGGATTAGGAAAAATAGTGAGGGGGTTGAGTCTATTTTATATTAAAAAAATTTATTTTTACAATTTATTTTTTTCCAAGTGCACCTGTTTGTTTTAATATTTGTTCTAATTTTTTTAATATAGAAATAATTTTTTATTTATTTTATATAAAAATAATTTAACAATCTCATCACTAATCATCTCTTATATTATCATCAAAACAAAAATACTTTTATTTAATCCCCTCACTAACAACCTCCATATTAACAATCTCTTTACTAACAATCTTTTAACTAATAATTCCATCTAATCTAATCCGCCAAATAAACGTAACCTTAAAGTAAAAAAAATGTTAAGTTCATAAAGATATGATGGTAGAGAAAATATAGATATGACATGAAAACTAACTTTATTCACGAGATCACATATATTACTCCAACTCTTGTAATACCATGCTTAGAATTTTAGGAACATTCAACTTAAAATCAACAGAAAAAAAATTATAGGCAATATCAATTAAAATTTGAGTAAAATAGAGAAATGATGTGACATAAACTTTACTCATTTCAGGATGTATTTTCTTTGAACACTTACAAGTTAAACAGGGCAAAAATCTATAATAGAAAGAAAAAAAAAAACTCAGAAAGGTTTGTAGGGATGTGGATTGACTCTTTAGTTTTTTGACTTTTTGGTTATTTTAATTTGGAATTAAAAAGTCTCGTTTAGGATAAGTTTTTTTGACTTTTGTGAGAAAAAAAATAAAATGATTATGAATTAGATGTGACATTTTATCTTATTTGACTAAAATAATATATTTTATCCTATTAGCTATTTTAGCCCAAACACTCGTCCCAAACGGGGTGCTTTCTTTCCCAAACAACAACAACAAAAAAGGAAAACCTAAAAAGAAAAAAGAAATACCAACAATAATACTACATACTCAAAATAATAAATTAATATTTTATATTTATTGTATGTGTGATCCACATTTTCCTAAATTTAAATTTATACTAGGACTAGACAAGCATCCATCCCATCCGTCAAAATCGAATAGCTTGAACCAATTCACCACATAATGGACGATTTTGATAGCCTGAACAGACAGATACCGACGTACGTTTTTTCAATCCACCAAAATTTGTATGGACAACAGATGCGATACCATCTGACCCAACCCAACCCAACCCGATCTGCTCATGTCCTTAAGAAAAGGGTAAATTACATTCACCTCCCCTGAGGTTTCTGACAATTACAGAGATCTCTCATGTAGTTTCAATAATTATAAAAATCAACCTTACTTTTAAAACTATTATTAAGATTCTTCACCGTTAATCTTTTGTTAATTTATTTAACAAAATATGATGATGTCATGCTGATATCATATACTATGAGTACAAAATTTCAACATTGTCTTATATATATTCAAATAGTAAATTTCATCCACCTCCCCTGAGGTTTTACAAAAAAATTAATAAAGACTTATACATTATTTTAATAATGTTAAACAAAATTATTAAATTCTATAAAATATTTTAAAATATTCTAAATTGTTAAGACAAGCATATATATAGTAGAATAACCAAACATTACCTTATCTAAAAAAAAAAAAAAAAAAGCTAATAAATTGATCACCATTAAACCTTATACAAGATTAAATACAATCATTTATTTGAAAATTGCGAAACAAAGTATAAAAGATGTTTTATTTTTTAAAAGTACGACCAATTTTATAAATAATTATTTTGAGAAATTAGAGTTCGAATAAAAATTTAAAAATACATATAGGTATTTGATATTTTTTTTTTTTAGGTATGAAAAATACATATTTGGAGAAATTATCCTCTCTTTCTATTTTCTTTATTTTATTTCTTTCATTTTTATTTCTATTTATTTTCTCAATCATTTTTTCATAGTGTCACTGTAATAATTAGTAACACCATATAATTTATTATTATTATTTGTTCTTTTCTCTATGTTTTTTCCTCATTATTATTTGTTCTTTTCTCTATGTTTTTTCCTCAGTTTTTTCATCATTTTTTCTCTTTCATCAATGTTAGCTAGTATCACCCAATACCATAGCAACTTGCGAAATATGAATTTTTCTTTTGTTTTGTAAACATATTTGTGTATTAATTTTTTTTTTAAAGAAAAATAA